TTTCTTTATTTCAACTTTTGTACAGTAAGGATGATAATGTAGGAATACATAAGTAATGGTAGACAAAATGTTCATAATATGGTCTTAAATATTAACTTCAGGCAGCTATCTCAGAATAAAGTGACAGTAGTAATAAACATTTATCTTCATTTATCTTTTTTCTACTATAAAATGTAGGGACCACTTCTGATAGAAAATTGGATATTCTGCAAATAGTGTTCATTCATTCATTTCAAATGGTGAAGTAACATTATAATCAATTCTAAACTTTTTTGAAATTCATAATCTGATTATTAAAAACATTATCTCAAATCACACAAAAGTTATGCAATATTCTTTTATTATTATCATGTAGGTTTTACTGTTTTGTCTACTTTGTAGTAAGTTTTTCTATGATTTTTAGTTTCTTCTCTTTTTTATGGTGCTTAAAATGGAATATTTCCATTTTTCTGTTGCTTTGCTTTGGGTTATTTAGAAAATAAAAAGAAGATGCATTTTATTTTTAGATGGCAGTGGCATTTTTAAAAAATCATTTTCTTTTATTTTGAAGGCAGAAACAGACAGACATGTAGGGAATTCTTTCAGACACCAGTTCAGTTTTCAAATTTCTGTGTCATCTGGGTTTGGAGGATCAGATATTGGAGGAATGGATGAAAGATCTTTTACTGTCTGTCTGTCCCTTTCTTTTTCTCTGCTTTTCAAGAAAAAAAACCAATCAATACAAATAATTTTAATTAATTAATGAAGTCACTTTTGTCATATCCTAGTATTTGAGCATATTCTGTTATTAAGTAGGTTACCTCTATTTCAGAATACTTGCTTTAAATCTGACTTCATTAAGTAATTACCTTTTTACTGTGATTTCATTTTGGAATATAATGGATATATAAGAAATGTTTGTTCTTTGAAAAGCAGAATGTTATTTTTTTCCTTCTTGAGTACATTTAACAAATTAAGAAATCTTCTTAAATTATTAATTTCCTTTATTGGTTTTGCTATCAGTGTGTTATCTCAACATAGTAGAAAATAAAGTGTATTTATTCTTAATAAAATCACTTGTTTTATTCTGTAGTCTAATGTACACAAGGTCAGTAACTAAAAATAATAATATAGGACATAAATGGATTTTTTCTTTTTTACTGTTGGTCCCTAAGCTTTTTTATTTAATGAAAATAATTTTGAGTATATGAATAGAAGATTCTTAGCATTAGTAATAAGTGGTATGAGTGTACATAAATTCTACAAGTATCTTGGTTGTGGAACCAAAGGAAGAAAATTGATAATTTCATATTAGCATTAGTTTGCAATATAGTTCCACGGATTCAAATCACCCCTTAATCCTAACTGTAGAGTAGAAATCTTTCACTCATTTGTTTTTGTTTATTTCACTCGATTTGTTTTGTTTTTGTTTATTTAGCCTCTATTCTTGGTAGTTTGGTATGCTTACTGTTTTTTTTTTTTTTTTAAGATTTATTTTTATTATTTTTTTCATTAGAAAGGCGGATATACAGAGAGGAGAGACAGAGAGGAAGATCTTCCGTCCGATGATTCACTCCCCAAGTGAGCGCAACAGGCCGATACTATGCCGATCCGAAGCCAGGAGCCTCTTCTGGGTCTCCCACGCGGGTGCAGGGTCCCAAAGCTTTGGGCCGTCCTCGACTGCTTTCCCAGGCCACAGGCAGGGAGCTGGAAGGGAAGCGGGGCTGCCGGGATTAGAACCGGCGCCCATATAGGATCCCGGGCGTGCAAGGCGAGGACCTTTAACCACTTGCGCCACCGCGCCGGGCCCTGGTATGCTTACTGTTGATCACTTTTTTTCCTGACCTGCCTTGAACTCTAAATATAGCAAGTCCTTTTTTCTTTCTAACATTATTATTTATTTATTTTAAAAAATTGAAGTGACAGGATGGGCACACGGGGAGAAGGAGAGACACACAGATCTTTCATCTGCTAGTTCACTCCTCTAATGGCTAGGACAGGCTGAAGACTAGCCAGGAGCTTCAGATCTGGCTCTTTGCACATGAGTGGTAGAGCCCAAACACTTGGACCACCTTCAGTGCTCTTTGCAGGCCAATAGGTGACTGCAGGCTTGAAAGTGGAGCAGTTGAGGAACTGGTGTCCATATGGAATATCAGCATTGCAGGCTATGACTTTACGCACTTTGCCATGATGCTGGCCTCTAAATACAACAGGTCTTGAAGCTTATTTAAATATTTATTCCCACTAAGCTAAAATTACCTTGATTTTTATTTATTTATTTATTTTCAAATTTATTTATTTTTGTTGGAAAGTCAGATATACAAAGAGGAGAGACAGAGGAAGATCTGTCCACTAATTCACTCCCCAAGTGGCTGCAACAGCTGGAGCCGAGCAGATCTGCAGACCCACAGCCAGGAGCTTCCTCTGAGTCCCCCATGGGGGTGCAGGGTCCCAAAGCTTTGGGCTGTCCTCGACTGCTTTCCCAGGTCACAAGCTGGGAGCTGGATGGGAAGCAGCGTCACCGGGATTAGAACTGGCACCCTTAAGGGATCCTGGTGCTTGCAAGGCAAGGACTTTAGACATAAGGCTACTCCACTGAGCCCCTTAAGTTTTATTTTATAAATTGGAAAGTTTCTTTAGTTTGTTATGTGAGGGATCCTATCTTTCTGTTAAGTAAGCCTTGTAGCATTCCTATCCTGAACTAGCAGTAGGCACTATTGATAATGTACATAAAGTACTAGTGTGGGGTACTTAACATAGAGTGGTTAATCAACAAAAAACAGTATTGTTTTTATTTTCAGTAATGTTTGGAACAAATGGCAGTATGTGCTTTCTGCTGAAAGTGTTCTTTACATTCTGTTTATGATCCTGCTGTACTAGCTTTCCTGAAATGTTACTCCTAGACAGTAAACAATGCCAGCAAAAACTAAAGTGAACATTTTTCTTCTCTCTTCAGAGTAATTTAATATTGGCTACAGTTGTAAAAAAAAAAAAAAGACCCTTATTTTATGTGTTTAAGGTAGATATTATGGTGAAAAGTTTCTCTTGAAATTGTTTTGGTTTGTATGGGAAAACTATTTTTTGTTAGGAATGAGAAGTAAAATGATAACATACTAAATTCTACCTAGAAACTGAGTTTGTCTTTTCAAGATAATTGAAACCTATTCAACTGGCTTCTAGCTTACAGCTTGAAGTGGTTCTCTTCTGATATGATTTCCTTTATGTTACCTTTTTGGGTCTTGATCTTTATGACATTTTTTTTTGTTAGAACCTTTAAACATCTCTGTATTACTTTTGTTCTAAACTATTTAATATAGTTTTGCTTTTAGTTTTGATAGGTTTGATAGTCCCACTGAATGGGAATCACTGAAAATGTCAATTGTGCTCTTCTTTGGAAATGTTGTCTGTACCAACAATGTCGAGGTACACTTAAATAAGAGACTGATAGAATTATGATTCCTTATGAAGGACTACACCATTGTAGTAAAATGGGGAAAATCTGTCAGGGGGTAGGAGTTTGCGGGGGAAACCCAGCCCGTAGGAAATTGTACCACATAATTCAAAATTCAAAATAAAAATATATTAAAGAAAAAAATATCAGTTGTGCTGCTCTTTGGAAATGTTGTGATCCTCAGGAAATTATTATAATTATGACATGCATGTTGATTATCATATAGGACATGACAAATATATATGACACTGTTCATAAATTATGTGTCAAATTATATAATATACATTGAAGTACAATGAAAATTATGAAATATGTGCCCACTAGAAATTACCTACTAACACATACAAGAGCTCTTCACAAGGTTTGTGGAAAAATGAAGTGAAAAATTTATTCTGGAGCCCCTGTATGGATTGCCTTTTTTTTTCTAACCAAAACAAATTTATGTTTCTATTCTATTTTCCACAAACTTATAAGAATACCTTCATATTTACTATTAGTGGTTTAATTTCAAGTTATTTGCAGTTCTAGTGTTATTTTTATTTATGTATTTATTTTTATTCTACATTTTTAAGCAGTGCCTGCTATCAGTTAATTACTTTGATAAATGAACAAAGTTCACTTGTTTTTGTGGTGAGCTATCAGATAGATCATATTCTTGATATGACAGAACTAGTGATACTTCATTTCCTTTAAGTTCTCTTCAGAGTGGTGAAGCTTTAAAACAAGATCACTATAAAAAGCAAAGGTTAACATTTGCTGCAGAAACGAAGGTAAACTCAGATCTCAGGAGAATCAGTTTTGCAAAGGCTAGAATGTTGATGATAATGATGACTTCACGTTTCTAAATTAGAGTGATATTTAGAAGCACAGATATTGTACAGTTTCCTGGCTGCATCTGCTGGGTTATCATTTTGCAGTTCTCTTTCATTAGTGTTTCAAGAAATAGACTACCAGAGTGGCATACTACATAGCTGTGGTATAAGAATGTGGATTTTCAGTAACAAAAATGAATGTCTTTTGATTATCTATTCCTTTTTTGTGGTTCATGTCATTTCTGTAATTCACTAATGAGGACAACAGGAAAACAATATTAGAAATGCAGGACTCCATGGAAACAGAGGATTAAGATAATGAAATGGGAAAATGGAGGAAGATATTAAAATAGTAGTAGTTGGATAATTTCTTTATTGTTATTGGAAAGGCAGATGTACAGAGAGGAGGAAAGAGAGAGCGCAAAATCTTCTGTCACTTGATTCATTCCCCAAGTGGCCGCAGTGGCTGAAGCTGAGCCAACCCGAAGCCAAGAACTTGGAGCCTCTTCTGGGTCTCCCACTTGGGTGCAAGGTTCCAAGGCTTTGGGCCATCCTCGATTGCTTACATGGAGCTGCCGGGATTAGAACCGGCGCCCATATGGGATCCTAGCACATACCAGGTGAGGTGTTTAGCCACTAGGCTACGCGCTGGGTCCCAGCAATTTCTTATTAGTACAATAGTTTTAGGCAATTAAAAATAATGAAGCACTAATATAACCTTAATTTTGATATGCATATTATATACTTTTACCTTTCAGAACCTAAATCACAGCTTCATCAGGGACAACACAGATTATCAAATAATGAGCAGAATGGAGTAAAAGATAATAATCAACCAAGACATCTTCTACGAAATGACACCAGGCTGCCAAGAAATGAAAAACCTCCTCGTTTTCAAAGAGACACTCAAAATTTAAAGTCATCGTTAGAAAGTAGTTTGCCTAGAAATAGAGGTTCTGAAAGACCAAGTACTTCTTCAGGATCTGAAGTATGGGCTGAAGACAGAATCAAATGTGATAGGCCATATTCTAGATTTGACAGAACTAAAGATACTTCATATCCTTTAAATACTCCACACAGTGATGGTGCTTTTAAAAAGAGAGAGAACTCCATGCAAAGCAGATCGGTAAAAGGTCCACCATATGTGGAAGCTAAAGATAATCCACTTCCGCCAGAATCTGTAGATTGTAACAATCAAAAACGTGGAAAAAGGGAAAACCAAACAGCTAATTCTGACCATTTTTATGACAGGAAATCACGAACAATTAATAATGAAGCCTTCAGTGGTGTAAAAATTGAAAAGCAATTTAATGTAGCTGCTGATTACCAGAATCCTGGCCGAAGTAATAGTTTCATTGGTGTTCCAAATGGAGAGACAGAAATGCCACTATCAGGAAGAAGAGTAGGACCTATTAAGCCAGCAGGACCCATTGCAACTGTACACTATGATGATAAAATATTTTACAATAGTGGGCCCAAAAGAAGATCTGGACCAATTAAGCCAGAAAAAGTACTAGAATCATCTATTCCTATGGAGTATGCGAAAATGTGGAAACCTGGAGATGAATGTTTTGCTCTTTATTGGGAAGACAACAAGGTATGTGTTTTGTAAAATTATTATGCACTAATTATTACTAAATGCAATATTCTGGTGGGACTTTAGAAAGTCTGTAATTTTGGACCATGAATTTTGTGTACAGTTGTACTTGTTTAATGCCTTTGAATTGATTTCCAGATATGTGATTTATAAAACACAAGGAAAAATATTTTATGTTTCTTATGAGTACGTGAGCAGGATCTGCATATAAATTTTGTTTTGACTAGGTTTGGGTTTAATTTACGTATCAGAGTATTAAGACAGTGGTTAAGTGAAATGGAACTTTATTTCACTTATCAGCTAAATTATAAATATTTACTTTTGCCTCTAATAAAATCATACTGTCATAAGGAAGAATATCAATGAGTGGAATAAAATGAAATTCTCTGAATCTCATTCACAGAAAATACACACATTCAACTTACATTTAAAAATAAGAGCATATATATTATTAACTTTAAATAATGAGAACATCCTTTAATTCTATATTATTTGGTGGCTAAAAGGAGAGAAAGTAGTTGTGGGAGGAGGGACAGCCACATGAAAGCATGAAGCCAAAGCCTGGCCAAGATGTACAAGACCCACACAGCGAGAGCAGGAATGGGGAGAGATCCTCCAGCCCTCAGAGCCAAGGCCTTGGGCTGTGCTTTCCCTTCTTTGTAACATGCTCTTCTGGTTTTGTTTACAACTGTTTGGCTCAAACTTCACCCCTGAGAAGAAGTGTTCTTTGACCTTCCTTCCTCCTAAATTATTTTCTTTCTCACTCAGAAACTTCACTTTTTAGAACCCATCACACTTTGTAAATATTTTGAATACTCATTTTTGAACTGATAATCTCATTCCCTGCCATGATATTTAGTTTTTTAAGGGCAGAATTATGTTTGGTTTTCTTCTGTAGTTCTTTTCCCATAGAATAGAATAGAGGTTCCATAATTAAGTGCTACCTCTGATATGGTTACATATGGAGGAGTTTCTTCCTTTAAAAAAAATTTTTTTTAAGATTCATTTAGTTTTATTAGAAAGCCAAATCCTTCTGATTCACTCCCCAAGTGGCCACAACAATTGACTGTGCCAATTCTAAGCCAAGTAGCCAGGAGCTTCTTCTTGGTCTTCCATGTGGGTGCAGGGTTCCAAAGCTTTGGGCCATCCTCCACTGCTTTCGTAGGCCACAAGCAGGGAGCTGGATGGGAAGCAGGGTCACTGGGACACTAACAAGCACCCATATGTAATCTTGGCATGTGTACCACAAAAACTTAAGCCTCTAGGCTACAGTGCCAGGCCCAACGGGATTCTTCAATAGGAAAATAAAAGAGTGCAAATGTGCTTGGAGCTATTAGAAAGGTAATAAAATTAGATGTAAGGGAGGTGAGATGCGGATACTGTTTTTTCTTTATTATCTAGACTCTTAGTCTCTTAACTGAGACTGTTTCCCAAATTCAAAAATGTTTTGGTTTGGTTAAGGGGAGATAATGGTCTACTTAGCTATTTTGCCATCATTGTAGAGACAGTGAAAAGTGAAGTAGTTGGTGGTCATTGTTTATTGAGCCAACAATATCTACTTTGCAGGGAATGAACACTGTCTGCTTCTGTGAAAAATGACAGTGATGAGGATCAAGGAATGTTATTCTTGTTGCACAGTATGGAGTTCTTGATGACCCTTATAGCAACAGAAAATAAAATGAGATTAGAATTCAAGGTTCATACTGTTATAAAGGTCAAGTGAATGACTTGGGCCAAACATAAAGTGGTGCCCTGAGTACGAAATGCAAAACTAAGATAGTTACAAATGCTAAAATGCTAAAATCGTAACAAATGCTCAGAATTCAGTAGGATATGTCCTTGTACTGTGCTTGTTTGCCAGAAGAAAATATAATCCTGTTTTGGCAAAAAATAACATCTTCACTTTTCTTTCTGCAGTGCATGGCATCTTATAAAAAATAATGAGCTGTGACTAAAGATGATAATTATAGAATTTGAATGACTGAATGTAAGCAAAGAAACAATAAAGAGTAACAGGCCCACCAGGTATTCAGATAATTCGACTTAAGACCAGTTAATTCAGCAAATATTAATTGAGAATTCACCATAATTGAGTGGCTGCTAAAAGCCTGGTGCTTAACATATATCAAATAGCTCAGGCTGTGCCCTTGCCCACAGGCCTCCAAATACGTTATTAATAAGATTGCTGTGGCTGGCACAGTGGCTCAATTGGCTAATCTTCCATCTGCAAGTGCCAGTATCCCATGTGGGTGTTGATTCATGTCCCCCACTGCTCCATTTCCTATCAAGCTCCCTTCTTATGGCCTGGGAAAGCAAAGAAGGATGTCAAAACCTTGGCATCCTGCACCCACCTGAGTGACCCCAAAGAAGCTCCTGGCCCCTGGCTTTGGATTGACTCAGCTCCGCTGTTGCAGTTATTTGGAGAGTAAACTAGTGATGTAAGATCTTACCCCCTGCCCATTCTCCCCCGTCTCTCCTCTCTAAATCTGCCATTGCAGTAGGAATAAATAAATCTTAAAAAACCAATTCCTAATACAACTTTAATTGTATTTGCAATTGCCTATAAAAATCAATAGTTTGAAATCATCTGTCATCTTTACTTAATATTTTAACAGTGGTACCATGAAGTATCTAGAAGACTGCATAACAATTCCTAAAATGTTTGAGATATTAGAGTATTATTAGATCAGGCCTGGCGGCGTGGACTAGTGGCCAAAGTCCTTGCCCTGAATGTGCTGGGATCCCATATGGGCGCTGGTTCTAATCCTGGCAGCACCACTTCCCATCCAGCTCCCTGCCTGTGGCCTGGGAAAGCAGTCGAGGACGGCCCAAAGCCTTGGGACCCTGCACCCACATGTGGGAGGCCTGGAGGAGGTTCCTGGCTCCTGGCTTTGGATCGGAGCAGCATTGGCTATTGCGGTCCTTTGGGGAGTGAATCATTGGACGGAAGATCTTCCTTTTTGTCTCTCCTCCTCTCTGTGTATCTGTCTTTCCAATAAAAATAAATAAATCTTTTAAAAAAAATAGAGCATTCTTAGATCAATTGGATGACTTTCTAACATGACTACTTTCTAACATACTACTTTGATTTGAATTGGTATGTAGTTTTGGATTAGTTTGAGAACCTGGACTCAAAATAGGTAGGAGTATTAAACTTTGGGAATTATATAAACACTCTGAAAGAGATGAAATAATTTATCTTGTGGTGCTACCTAACGTATGGGTTAGCTTTTAAATGTTTTGCCAAGAATAGGATATGTTTCAGTTTTCTGGACAGAGACCAGTGTAGAAATTTAAGAGAAGGAATTGACTACCTTCTTTAAAGATTTATTATTTATCTTCCATGATGCAGTTTTTAAGCACTGGGGAACAACCCTCCCTTCCCCCTCCTCCCTCCCTATATTCTGCTCCCGTTACTTGTCCTCAAGTTATTACAATGGCATAATCATTCATTTCACCACTGCAAGATTAATTTTCTGACATATAAATGTATTCTGGCATGGCAAGTATAGAAAAAGAAAAATGCAGTAATGTAATATAAAAGTTTAATTAAAAATAGTGGAGTCCTACCTACTGTATTTTGGGAATAAAGATGTGTAGTGCATTTATTCATTATTTTACAGTATGTTTTGAAGATAATGAGTTAGTACAATCCATTGTTTTAGAAATTGTTCACAGTATCTTATCTCTAGAAAGAAAATTGGGGTAGTTTATCTCTCTTTTTTTTTTTTAAATCATCTTACATAGTTGATTAGGGTACAAAGGGTCAAGGGCTACAGGAAAGTGGGTAAGACCATTGTTTGCACACTAATATCCTCATTTTTACCCCGTGCATCTGGGGTCAGGGGAGAAACAAAGGGAGAAACCCCATACAACCTCCCACCCATCCCAGGTCCCCAATGTGGGACATGCTCTGAGGGTCCTACTCAGTTTAGATAGTTCAACAATTCTGAATTGCTGCCAATCTCACTGTTCCAGTCACAATGAAATCTATTCAGAATCCACTGGCTGACATAGTCTCTTCATGGTTGGGGTTCTAAGATCAACAGTTCAGTTAGAGAGATCTAAAAGAAATTTTGTCTGAGGTGATCCCAGACCTGATTCTTGTATGTGCTTGCCAGTACAGGGTTTGGCACATCCGTTGACCCAGTCAACTTATGCACATACTGGTCGTTGCAATTGCTGGGTCAGTTCTGTTTCCAGCTCTGTCTTCCACGCGAACCAATGGTTGTTGCAGTTCAGCCTGATTCTGCCCACATCATACTTGGCCCTCACACAAACCAGTGGGAGCTGCAGCCTTGTTCGGGCAACTTCCCATAACCCATATCAGGCCTGCCCCCTACTCTGGTTCCCATGCTTGCCACTATGTACTCTTCTAAACTAGAGTATTCTAACAACCTCCACATTGGTTTCATGGCCTTAAACTTCATTATTCTTAATTTTTTCATTGACTATGTCACTGCTGTGGTCCTACTGTTTTAGGAATGTTTTCCCCAGTTAAAATAGGACACAGACTCTAGTGTGCATGAGAACTCTGTGCCATCTCCTTTGTTTTCTTACCTTGTTAAATTTATTGTTGGTTGCACCTTAAATCACATCATAATTGATTTCAAACTCCGTTTGATCTCCTGCACTCATCTTCATGTCATAAATTTTCTCATGTCATCTCATTCTTTAACTCACTTTTAACATTCCTTTACTGCAGGAAGCTCATCCTCAGCTTATGAAGTAGCAAATCATGACAATTTCACAATAGTACATTCTACGTTAGGTAAAGGTTTTTTTTTTTTAATATTAGTTATTTGCTTGAAAGGCAGAGTTACAGAGAAAGATAAAAAGAGTTCAGATAAATTTTTAAATTTAAGTATAATTTTTAAGTTGTAGTTATCAAATAAAGCAATTACTGTGAGTATGTTAATACTCATCAGTTGTTAGTCAGATAATTTTAGGTAAACTGATCAAAGTTTCTGATCTCAGAGTGTTTCCAAACCCATAAACTGTAGATTTAAGCCATGTGTTTATCTCTTACTTGATACTCCAAACTTACTCAGTCATCTGTGATGAGCAAAACAATAACTGTTTCTTTTATCATTTATTTTTGTCATTTAATGCTTTTAAATAAATTATATTAAAAATTTCTGATTAGTAGGCACGATTTTTCTAATCAGTAATATTCAGAGAGTCCCCCAAAGTTGCGTTATTTTCTAAAAATATACATTGCATCTCAGAGAATTTATATTTTATTGAATACTGCTTTTGTAGACAACATTGACTGTCACATTTCATAATACTTTTTGCTTCCTCAGTTTTACCGAGCAGAAGTTGAAGCTCTCCATTCTTCTGGTATGACAGCAGTTGTTAAATTCATTGATTATGGAAACTATGAAGAGGTGCTATTAAGCAATATCAAGCCCATTCAAACAGAGGCATGGGTATGTGATCCAAATTCTGTGCAAAGGCATACACTGTATTGAAGAAAATGCATAGCTCTAAACATTAGTGATAGTCATATGAAACTTACTAATGGAATTTGCTTAAACTGGCTACCCTTAACAAGAATTTAATTAACCTGAGCTAAAATAAAAATGAATGTATTGGAATTTCTTTTCTTGTATATTGCTTTATTGTATCATGCTTTGCAAATAGGTGCTCTTATTTCCATGTCTGACGGAAGTTTGTATGTGTAAGATGGATGGGTTTGTTTGATATAGATTTTGTTCTTTCCCAGTTTGTTACTTTAAATTTGAATACAACATTTCCATTAGGTGTCAAATTTAAATCTCTGTTGGATACTTGTATCCTGTTTGTTATTTCTGTTACATGTAAAATTAAGAAAGGTATTTCAAACTATATGTGAATTTCCACTGCATTTACTTCACACACACATATATGTACAGATTAACTATAAGTCTGTATAGCAATCATATGATAATTTTTGTTGGCAGATATTTGTCAAAACTGTGATAACCTGGACGAGGTAATTTGGAACATAATGGGCTCACTTAATACAGGAATTTGTGAAACTTTACATGGATTTTCAATTACAGTTATGTAAAAACAAGAGTACCACATGCAGTAGAATTAAGGTCACAGGTTTTCTTGCTTCTTTCCCAGATTTATGGGCAGCTGCTAATAAGCCTATCAGTATAAACCAAACTTGGTAGTATTTTGCTATAAGATCTGAATATCCGAAAATGTGTGCCATCCAAATGGTAGCTTGCATCCTAGAAGAAGACCTTGTTTTCACGTCACTTGCTTTAGTTTTGGTGTTTTTAAACTTTCCTGCAATCGTATCAGTGACACCCCCTACCCATTCCTTGCAAAATAAATAACAAGAGTTTAGTGATATTAACCATGTGTTGGGCAATAAGACTTTATTTTTGGCCTTTTCATTCTAGAAAGACAGTTTTTAGATTGTTTATCATTTTCTATTTTAAGTATATTATGGTTCACATGGTTAGGAGATTTTCTGCTTTTATTTTTTTTTCAAAAAGACTGAAATACCATAAATATCTGATTTATACCTCATTTCTTGGAGAAGCTTGATGTAGCCATGTTTTTACTTTTCTAATTCTCATGGTGGCTATTTTTGTTATCTTTTCCCATTAACACATTTCACTCTAGTTTTGATGGTGAAAGTAATTATTAAATTTATATCTCTAGAAATTGAGTCCTGATTTGTTATTCTGTGTACTCTCAATTGTTATCTATAGCCTTCAAAAAGTCAAAACAGAATTTATTGTTGACTCAGTAAAGGATTCATTATGTTTTTTCTCCACTAAAGAAAATTGTATTTTTCTTACTTCATTTCTTTTCTCCCTCCTTTTGCTCTTTCAGGGTGGCCATAATGATGAACACATTTGTTACTCTTCATTGTAGCTCTTCTAGTCAGAGGAGATTACTCCTGACCTGATAATTTTTTGTTGTAGTTAGGCATGCTTCCTTTTTCCCTGCTTAATAGTCCTCATTGCTTTATCTTGGCTTTAGGTCTGCGTAAACTTAACTCTATGATAAATCTATTGGATGTCACAGCCATTTAGGAATTCTGTTCTGAATTACACTACATTTCATATTATTTCTACCTTTTGTGAATAATTTTTTAGTTCATTTTGCTATTTTAAACCCATTTTCTTTTGCTGAGATCAACATAAAAACTTTTTATATAGGATGTTTGAAGTGTTTTGAAGCAAGAAATATTTTGCAGAAAATATATTTTGCAATAGAATCCTTAGGTGTTTTGGAGATTTTACTGTTTCTTTTCTATTTCTTATAGATAATCACATTAGTGCTAATGTTCTATGATTTTACATAAATAAACCTAAAACTTTTTGAATCATGCACATTATTTTTGAGGAAAATATTACCATAAATAATTAATTGAGAGCAATATCTCATTGGAAGACAACACCTACCAGCTTAGCATTCCTTCTTTCATCTCCATTTTTTTTTAAAAAAATACATGTGCACATATGTATAAAAGGATCCTGAACAAACAATCTGTGTGACTGCAGTGCACAAAATATGCCATTAATACAGACTTCTTTTAGCCACAGAAAAGTTTAGTGCTGGGGTCTGTGAGTACTGTTTCTTTTTATAAGTAGGGAATTGTAGCACTTTAAATTGATTTTAAAAATACCAAATTGTGGAAATGCTCACTGTGCCAATAAGGTTAACTTTCCTGGATAAGTAATACTTAGAGTTTAAAGGGCTGAAAAGTGGCTGAAAGTCTGGAAACAATTACTTATACATGCTCTGAGTATGGAGTTTTGTTTTTTTAAGTTTTTGATTAATGTACTGCAAGTATGCATTGCTATTTTTTATTATAAAATGTTATTGTAACTTTTATTGAGTGTTATTAGCAATGATTATTAAATTTTTGAAAATAGCTTGCAGTAAAAACAACCAAAAAGCTTGCATATAAACCAAAAAAACTTTTTACTAATCCATTGCTTTTATTGTTTCTGAAAGGTATAAGAATAAATGTTAAATAAGAAGCATGAAATTTTAAGAGATTCAGTGACCACAGTAATTAATAGTCATTGTGTAAAAACTGAAATAAAAGTCAATACTTTAAGTATTAAAGTTAATACTTTAAGTGTTAATGTTTTTCTTCTGTGGTTTAGAAATTATTTGCCTAGTCTAAAATGTATCTGTTCATTTCATCTAGATGCAATTTTTTGCTCCTGTACAATACATATATATTCATGTCAAGCTATATGTAAGTTCTGATTATGATGCATTAGTCTATTTTCTCCAAATGGTTTATTAAAATTTTTGATATGTCATCATTGATTTCTTTGTTATTCTAGCTAGATTTCATGTGATTCTTTTGGTTGCCATAAGATATTTAGTTCGATGTTGATGCCTTTATTGTAGTGAACTTTAAAATTATTAGTTAATGTGAGACTCACAGCTTATTATTTATCTAATAAATGCTCTAATTTATTTTTGTGTTTTCAAATAATGAATACTTTGAACATTTTGAGGCTTCTCTTTTTTTTTTTTTTTTTGGTAGGGTTTTCTTTTGTTTTAGCAAGGTAAATGAACCATTATGGAGTCTCAGGTTTTACTTACAAAATTACATATGGAAAAAACCATATTATTTTATGTTTTTTACCATAGTGTGAAAAAGCATTAGGAATGAAGAAAACCTGTTGCCTCTGTTCCTTGTATGCCCTTTCTAATGTAGGTGTTTTGTTTTGTTTTGTTTTTAACTCTAGAACTAATGCCAGAAAACCGGTATAGACATGTCACAGGCAACTTGGAAACCTTGCAAAATGCCTTGGTTATGCTGCTCAAACAAACCTATTTAAGGTGTTTTTGTTTGTTTGTTTGTTTGTATATATGCTGTTGATGCTAAGTTGCTCATCTAGACCTGGGAAGACACTCTCAGGTCCTGATTTTCAAAGTACATGCATAACATGGAGTCTTGAGATTTTTCATATTCCAAGAGATATCTTGGAACATGCTTGTGTCTATATCTTAAAAGTTCATAGTATCTGCTTCTTCATATCAGGAATTGATAATTGTTCGGCGGCTGTTCCATCTCTAGTAGTTATCATTATGTAGATAATGGTTAGTCTAAGAACTTGTCATATACATTAACTTGGACATTTATTCTAGAAGGTGACTCATGGATTATTACTGACTATTAGATAATCGTCATATCTTAAGTATTTTTCTCTAGACTGCTTATTTGTTCAACAAGTGTTCATTGCATACCCATGAGTTGCCAGGCACTGTTCTACATGAGGGACACTATAGGTACACAAAATACATTCAAAATATCTATGCCTCTGCACACAGGTTAAAAAATTATCATTTGTACTATGAAACAAACATAAATACATATTAATCCTTACCTCTTGAAACTTTAAAACAAACCAGTATTAGAGAAAATATTATTCGCTGAAGTTTAAAGAATTTGTATATCTTTATTCTACCATAGCTTACAAAAATCGTGGAATAAAGTATAGCAGTTAATTTTATTTATTTAAAAACCTGTTTTAGATAGATTTAAAAAGTAAAATTTGCTTTTGAATGGTCAGGGTTTTTTGGGCAGTTATATTGTATATACTTTTCCATATTAATATTGAGTTTTGCATAATTTTTGGTTTATTCATGGCATTCTTAGGAAAACATTAAAAATCTTCAAATTAAAATTATATTAACTTAAAAATCCATGTCATTTTGCCACTAACAGAAATATTGAAATGAAATGCATACTCAAAAAGCTCTAACCTATTTAACTAGAGATGTAGTTGTGATATATAAATCAACGAGTTTTTAAAACACCTTGTTTAATATTAAAGATTTGTCCATTTTTATTAGAAAGTCAGATTTATAGACAGAGGGAGAGACAGAGAGAAAGATCTTTGATCCACTGGTTCACTCCCCAAGTGGTCACAGTGGCCAGAACTGAACTAATTTGTAGCCATGTGCCAGCTTTGGGCCTTCCTCGACAGCTTTCCCAGGCCACAAGCAGGGAGCTGGCAGGAAAGTTGGGTAGGTGGGATATGAACCAGTGCCCATGTGGGATCCCAGTGCATGCAAGGCGAATGCTTTAGCTCCTAGGCTACCATACCAGGCCCAATTTAGTTTAATGGCATAGTAATAAAGTAAGACTATACATAGTTTGTATTTGGTATAAAAGTGTCTTACTATATTTAAAAGAGTACAGTTGCTTTAGTAACCATTTACATCAAAGGATGATTAGAACTGTACTGATGGTAAGATTAACTAATCCGTTTGTAATTTAAAAAATGCAACAGGTTATTTAATAGTAATCCAGAACATTTTTTATTCTTGCTGATATAATCTTAAATAAACTAGTGAATATAATTTACTGTACTTAAATTCTGCACCAAAAGAAAATGTAATTTGGTTAAAGTCAATAAATGCTGACATACGCTTTTTTCCAGCGTGTATATTT